ATATATTGGACATAGCCAAACCGTTCTATACATCTGTTTAAAAGTCGATGTAAGAGATGGCTGACAAGTTAGCTGAGAGAATTCGTAAGCTTTTGAAAACGGAGTGCGAGCCATTCAAAAGAAAGGAGAAGAAAATCCAATGAAATGATTAATTATTCACATCATCATATATATAGATATTTGAGATGTAGTATTAAGATTAAAAAGTTGTTTCAAAATATTGTTAAGCAGTTGAACAAGCCTTATTAATATATCAAGAATGGTTATCCATTCATTTTAATCCTAAATAATGCTTCTTCTGGCACATTTAAAAGGTTGTTCCATCAATCTTAACATGTGTTGTCAAGAATTGAATGTATCAGTATTCATTAAAGGTTATAGTTGAAAGTGCATTTAAACATGTCTATCCTTTGTAACTTTTAGCTTGTTGAATCTCAAAAACAAGTCAAACCAAAGATATTTTTAACACAACAATCTCTAATGTTATTGCTCTACAAATATTTGATATGCACATCAATAGTTTTAGGAAATTCAATTCTGCTCAGGTTTATAAGAATCACAGCCAACAACATTTGTTGTAATAGTATTGGGAGCATTTTTACATATTCTTCTTTAGCTTCCACTACCTGATTTCACAGTGCACGATCCGATGTAATGAGTGGTATTTATAATGGTGCATTTGCATATGTCTTTTACTTGAAAGTTTTATTCAATCACCTATGCCATTCTAGACACAACCTAATTGATTTTTTAAATCAATTACATTGATTATTGGTTATTAAACCCATAAGGAGTATTATCACAACTTTTATCTTTGCAATTTACTCCGTCTCAATTACAAGCCGTTGTCTTTTATTAATCCCAACATATTATATTGTTATTTTTAATGACTGCTATATTTCCACTAGTGGGCATCCTCCTCCATTCATTTTAGTGCAAGTTAATAAGCCATCTCAGCAATCTCCCTCAAATATCAACTTTTTGACAATTTATCACAAGTGTTAGAATTCATTTATGTGTTATTTGTACAAATGTATCAGTTAATTATATGACCTACTGGCTGAATACACTCCCAATGAATATTATGATACAACAGTGTCACACGAACTTCAATTAATTATCCTCTAGAGTTTCGCAAACAATTGTGCTTAATATTTGGAACCTAATTATCGATCCATCTCAAGGAAAAAAAAATGAGACCTATTGTATAATAATATACGCCAATTCTAAGGCATGTACTTTCTAATGCTTGTACCACTTGTTGTGATTCAGCTGGAGAAAGTTAGGGTTTGAGATGTCATTAGGATGAGACTATAACATATTCTAAGCCTAAAGCAAACCCCTTAATTCTTATGCTAGTTATAAATATACTCAAACTTAATGTAATAATGTATGTGCTACAATTACTAAGTTATTAAGCTGCAATCAATAACGAAAATTGTGCTGATCTCTATCTATT